ATAATATTAATACAAATATAAATTAAATTAAAAACATATTTTATTTTATTTAATAACTATTTAATAAAATAATTATGAAAAAAATATTTTAATTTTTAAAATTAAAAAATTAAAGACTATTTCAAACAAATAACTCCATCAAATAAATTCTCATGCTTAACTCTTTTTAGGTAAGATATTGATGTTGCATAAAATACTTTATGTCATTGTCTTATTGATGTGAAGAAAACTGTGTTTATTTTTGAATAAACAATACTTGGAAATATAGTCCATTTGTCACGTAAACCATTTTCTTAAAATCAGTATTTTATATTCTAATTTATGGCATATTCTTATTTAAAAAATGCTATAATATTTAATTCTATGAACCATCTCTAATTAATGTGATTAAAGGTAATTTTATATTCTTATTTTAAAAATAAAATATCATTAATTATTCTTTTATGATATTAAGAAGGTTATTTATCAATAATATGATATTTCATTTTATGATTTTAATTAAATTTATATAAAAAGACTCTTACTTTTAATTGATTATGATTGGCATCTTATCTTCATAATCATTAATTATTGAGAAAATGAAATTGAAAAAAAAATGAGGAATAATAACCCCACAAATACAATAATAAAAAGAGTACCAAAATAATTGAGAAAAGACTTGTTTGTTTTATTCTCCTTTGCTTGATAAGAAAATCAACATTGAGATTATGAAACAATTACAACTACACATGTGTGCTCGATTCCTCTTCACTGGTTTTTGAAAATGATAAACTGAGTTCTTAATATTTGTGCCTTTTTTTTATAGTTTATAAATTCAGATTGGACACTGTGATTTAATTCCTCTATGAATTCTATGATACACTTAAGATGTTTTCTAGAAGTAACAAAATAATAGTCTAAAAAGTAGCATAAAAATAAAAATATTCTGTATGAAAATAAAAATATTCAAGACACAGACTATAAACTTATGTGATTGTGGAATTATTATTAAATATTTAAATTTATTTTATTTTATTTTTAATTTTATATATTTAAACCCGTTCGTTATTATTTTATTATAAATTTATGCGTAGTGGATAATGTATAGATACATCACTTATATAATTATTATAGTTTTTACCTGAACATAATAATACCAAAAATAAGACACTCAAATTATAATTTTAATATATATTGGATTGAGTAAAGGTGAGATGCGTATGTGTTAATATCAAATTTTAGAACTTAATATTAAATTTTCCAAAGATGTTTGTCTATTATAGTGAGGTAAAGTAATGTAATAAAAATAATAGATTAAATTATGATAATATGATAAAAAATATATTTTCTATCATGATACTTATATTTAAATAATTAAATTATCTTATTATTTTTATTTAATTTAAAATTATGATATCATATTTTTGTATAAAATATAATGTTTTATAAATAAAAATAATGTTAAAGATCATAATTATTTAATAAATTTAGAGATTATATATATATATATATATATATATATATATAATATTTTGTGAAAAGTGACTTATTATTTAGTAAGTAATTATGTTATCTAAGAGCCTCTCCAAAGATGTTTAGAAGTTTTTTTGTAATAAATAATTTTTATTTAAAACAATTCTGTCATCAGAACATTTTAAAGTCATACATAGAGTTGCTTAGTTTTGTTTGAACTATTTCTTTAAATAATTATTATTTAGGAATAAAAATAATAATATTTTATTCAAGTTTATAATCAAATCTGAAATAAACAATATAAAATTAGGAATTATCCTAAGAAATACAGATCTGAAATAAACAATATTCTAAACACATATATAATAAAATGAATTTTATACTTTTCGATAAAACATGTGAAACAAGAAGAACCAGTCAAGAAGATTAAAAAAAGAAGAAGTTATTTCCTTATTCAAAATTCAGTCATTTAGAATCTTCTAAAATGTGAAAGAAAGAACATAGAAATAAAATTGAAAGACAAAATAATATTTACTTTGTCTTATATTAGTTAGAAAGGAAAGGAAAAAGGTGATTTATATAATTAAAAGAATAAATTATCTTCATGTTTTTACATTTATTTATCTATATTATTTTATTTTATTTTTTACACAGGCAAAACAATATTTTCAACTTTTGTATTATTTCTTTTCATTTACAAAATATATATTATACACATATATTTTCTACACAAAGTAAACAAAAACATTTTCAAATATTGTATTTTTTTCTTTTCATTTCCCTTTCTAAAAAATAACTTGTAAAATAATATGACAGTTTGACTTATTTTGTTCCTTAAATCAAACATACTATAATTATAAAATTTCTCCACGGTCGTGTGCGAGTTTCTAGAAGTGAAAAATAGCATCTTCTAGAATATATGGAAAAGACCTAGCTTTCAAAAAATAATTAAAAAGAACTAGATTCTTCATGTGTTAAGAAATGTATATGTAACTTATACGTGTGACATGATCATATTTGCAGAGAAAAGAAAAAACAAGAAGAATATTCATGTTGAATTTGAAAACACTTTAATGTGGTAATTTATATTTAAAGTGTTGAATATATGGGCAATAATTGTTTGGGAATAGGAGTTGTTCCCATGTGTAGAGAAGGTCAAGTCAAAGTGGTACTTAGCTGAGTCCATTGCAACTCACAAAAGAAGTTCTCTTTGAAAACAAAAAGTTGACCTCTTCACACATGCAATGGTCTTCAATGCTGAAAAACCAAACTAGTCATTGTCTTCATTTATTAGGGTTATCACATGAACCATATCTTTCACCTTGTTGGGACTCTGTTTTTTACAAAATTCTGAAATGGGGATTTAAATTATTAAAGGCTTAAATATTTTGCTTTTAGACCATAAAAATATTTTGCTTCACTTTTGATCTTTGTATTTTTTTTTTTTTAATCTTTGTTGTTTTATTTGAACTTCATAAAATATTTTTTTTTATTTGTTTTATACTCTCTCAATATATATACTATCTATCAAATATTTTATAAATACTGGTTCAAAATAAACAAAATATTATAAAGATTAAAATAAAAAATTACGGAGATTAAGATAAAAAAACCATAATCCATTATGGATGTTTTACTTAATATTTTTTGTTTTTTATATTATAATAATAAATAATTAAAAAAATAATAAATAAATTTATTTTACTTTCCACCTATTTTTACTCTCTTTCTCACATTTTTCACTCCTTTAAATCTATTCTTTAATCCAGCCTAAAAAGCTTGAAATTTTGAATTTTAGAGCTTTATCAATTTATTTCAAGTTTTAGCGGGACAAAATTAAACACCCCTTATTAAATTTAGATACTTTCATCACGTAACTAACAAAGTAATATCTTATCCGGATTGGAAATAAAATTAATAAAGATAAAATAAAAAATCTATATGTGTCTTTTTAATAATCAAGTTTTATCACTGTTAATCTAACCCGTTGATAGACTAAAATTTAGAATGATCTCATACATTTAAATAATAAATTTTAATTAAATCGAGATAAAAATAATAAAATAAAATAAATTTAGATCAAATAATTTAATATAATTTTTTTATAAAAATATAATATTTTTTTATTTTATTAATTACGTTAACTTTAAATAATAATTATTTTATTATATTTTTATCTTATTTTAATAATTAATTATATTTTATATTTATAATTTTCATTATAATTTATAATAATAATATTAATAATCTTTGTTATTATTCTTTTTATAAAAAATATTATTACTAATAAATTTTTTATATTATAAAAATATTATTTTATTAAAATTGGTTGAATATAAATATTATTTTATTAAATTTAGTTGAATACAAATAAATTTTGATTAAAATTTTAAATTTGAACTCATATTTTCAACCGTGACCGTTCAATTTTAAAAATATTAGATTTTATTTTTCTTTCTAGTTTTCAAAGTGCACGATAACATAATTACATTTTTATCAATTATTTCTTATTTTTCTTCTATTTTTTAATTAGCTTACATAGATCATAAGAGATAAATAGAATATCATCTGTATTTATATAAGAAAAACTTATTACATTTTTGGTTTCTACCAAAAAAATCTTAACAATACTTATAAAAAAGAGTATAACCTCCAGTCTAATTTATCTATAGTTAGAGATTTTTATAAATAGATTAAGAAAAACAATAAATTCACGTCTTTTCATATACTTTTATTTAAGTAGTCACACACTCAAAAAAATACATAAAATACGATGCGAGATAATTGTAGTAGTTGAAGAATTAATATATTAATTTGTATCAGAATAAATTAAAAAATAATAATTACTTGTACATTATAAAACGAGCACATCACTCATTTTGGGATAAATTGAAAAAGTTAAAACTGCCAATAATTTAGAATGAAAATAGTAATCAATCTTCTTATGATTATTGTACCATTTCTTTTTGTATTATCACAAAAACGAACTTAGGGTTTTTTTTCCTTCAATAGTTCCATGCAAGAATTACCAACAAAAACACTAATTGCGTAGTGGGTTCCATGAAAGAAGAGAAAACACCCAAATAAGGAATATGGAGGGAAAAAGAAATAACCCCCAAACAGCATCTTCACACTCAAATCCAAAATAGTTAAGGTCGGTGGTAATTCAGATGTTAGCTTCATAACTTTTTATTTAATGCACTTTCTTGGCCATAAGATAAAGTGGGGGACGGTGCCTGGATAAGATCATATAATATTTTTTGAGTCTATAGGTAGGGTTTTCAATAGGGGCTTAATGGGTAGTTGATTAGGTGTTTTCCCTAAGGGTCTAAAATAACAAGACTCTTATCTCCAAGAAATTATTAGATAACCCAGAATTACTATAATCTCAATTAATCTTCATATAGTTAAGTGCTAATGATTTTTTCTTGTCAAATAAAAAACTTCATATATATTACCAAGAGATTGTTTGAAACCATAAACATGTGATGATGGGAGATTTTACCTAATAATTTTTCCTTCCCTAGCTTGTCCCCTACACAGAACAGCTAGTCATCCCTGTAGTTCCCCAACAATAGAGCATGGTTCAAATTTATCATCCTTATGGCAACAACCTCCTTGACCATGACCTTTGAGAGATTCCCGGAGTTGAAGCACTCAACTTGGGACCACACAACATTGGTCAGAGACTTCAATTCGCACTGCAGGGCCTTAAATTTCTGTCTGGCTACACTATAGTAATGGTCATAAAGAGAAAAATAACAAGCAACAGTAAAAAGAAAGCCTAAAATATGGAATCTCACCGACCATGGCGAAAATAATTTAAGCTCTTTTCCAAAGGAATCAAAGCATGGGAGACAAAAAAGCTATATTTAGAGAGAGATGCTCCATGATACGCGGTAACAATATCAGCATCATGATGTAAAGTTATGACATGATGCATAAAGTTTGACAGAGTACAAACATAATGAAAGCAAAAAAAAAACAATAAAAAAACAAGAATCTTAAAATTACCATCGCTCATTGAGTGATCATATGCTTATGTTCAATGCCATATAACACAAGTGGCGTTAGCCTTGAAATTTCAATAATAAATTTGTCAAAATAGGAACTTAAAATGAACATCACAGAATTGATACCGTGCACAAAAATAATGCATTCCATAATCTTAAGTCACATTCTGTGGTTAGAAATGCATTAGAAAACATGAAACTAAATTAGCCTTCTAACATGAAACTAACCATGGTTACATACATACATTGGGGTGACAAAATTTTCTACAAATATGGGAAAATTACTGGACAGACATCACTTGATCGATTTAACTAGCAACATCAGCAATAAATATGCTGCCTGAATCACACCAGCCAGCCAAAACATCTTTGCCGGAGCACTGCGATGTAATAAACAGTAATATTAGAAGTAATATCTCAGGAGTAAAAGCCATAATATGTTTAAAATAAATAGAGAAAAAACTCCTGAATAAGAAAATAGAATGTAGCCCACGTTATCTATGTGCTTGGCAGAACCACAAAAAGTGAAACTAAACTAAGATGAAAAGGACAACTAAAAAAAAACAGCCATAATCTTGGTCATCATGCATGTGTACATTCATTGCTAATTTTAGCTCCCCAGTTTCAATCTACCGTTTTACCCTCATTTTTACTCCTTTTAACACACTTCAATTATATAAAATTTCTTCCAAGGTTTAACTGTGTCATTTGACAGAGAAGTGTATCTGTGCAAAAGATTCAAGCCTAGTCCTATAACGTCAAATTCACACTTAATATTTATATTTCTTCGTAGAAATTTAAAAGTTAAGTAAGAACTACATTGAGGAATCTTCACTATGGAATGATTCAACAAAAGAATGTCTCAGCATGAAAACCCAAAATTGTATTTGTAAAGCACTGATGTGGAACCCTTTTTTTTTATATAATAATGATGATGGTACCAGATGTGCCTAAAGGTGTTACATTCATATCAAAATAAATAAACAATACATATTCAGTTATAGTGTATTTATATGCAATGCAGTGGCATATAAATAAACTTTAACTATAGTCCCACTTAATACATCACCACCTATATTCATCAATAAGTACATCTGACTACACCACTCCTGCATGTTCCATTGTCCTGTTCTACATACCAAAATAATTGTGCAAGGTAAATGATGTGGAGGCTGATTTCTGTTTCCACCCCATCAATTGCAGCCATGTTCCCTTCTATTATGTCCACGATCTGTTATTTCCATTCTTTAAGCATAGTCCCACATGAGCTTGATACTGTGCATTTGAATGAGCAAGATGGTGGGATATACCCTCACACCCACATCCATGTGTAGAAAGTAATGTCCTTCATGATTAAGTTATGATCAAAACTTTGGTCAGATAACACAGTTGTTTCTATATATCCATATTTTCCTTCCACATTATTGTTCCCCACAAAATCCATCCGATCTCTCTTTCCTTCCTTCAGAGTTACATATGACAAAAAATTGCATAGTGTTTCAACGCATTTTGTGGTATCACCCACGTTGTACCTACTCACTGCAAGCATCGACTCCATATCTTATGACTTTTCTCACACGCAAACAAAATGTGGACTAAAGTTTCTTGGTTCTGTCCACAAAAGGGACACTCCCCGCATCTATTTTCAAATTTTATGCCTCTTCTGGATAAATTGTCTACTGTGGCCAATCTATTGTTGAGTGCTCTCCAGAGAAAACATTGTATTTTGGGTGGAATTTTAAGTCACCAAATTTTTACTCTGCCTTCATCAACCTTACCACCATATCTTAGCAAATCTAGCACTTCATACGTTGCTTTGACTGGGAATCTGCCATAATTACTTTCCGTCCATATCCATGTGTCCTATTATGTTTTTGCAACGCCACATGACTTATTTTGGCACTAAATTCTTCTAACATTTCTTTTTCCCACTCAAACCACCCCTCCTCTGTTTAAAGTCCCATATCCATACCTCATCGTCCCACCTTCCCATACCTCCTATAACCTCCCGTTGTTGTTCTGAATTGGCATAAAGTCTTGGATAACTTGATGCAAGAGCACCTTCTCCCATCCAATTATCTAACCAAAATCTCCCGTCTCACCCATTTCCAATTCTCCATATATTTTTGGTCTACATATTTTTTCCAACTCACCCAATGTATTTTTCATTTTCATTTCACATCCCCACAAGAACTCATTTTGTATCTTCTCAATTTTATTCCTCACCCGACTTGGAATTTTAAAAAAGCATAGGAAAAAGATTCGTAAAGATGACAACACAGAATTGGCTAAGCAGAGCCTTCTGGAAAAATATAAAGACCTATGCTTCCAAGGTGCCAGTTTCTTAGAGAATTTACCGAGAATAGGCTTCCAAGAATCCTTTCTATGGGGATTACCCAAAGGTATTCCAAACTAAATAACAAAAAATGCAATACCTGGCAATTCAAGAAATTGGCAAACCTCTCCAAAGTTCTCTCCTCCAACCCAATACCTCCAAATTCACTCTTGAAAAGATTTACTTTAAGTTCAGACACAAGTTCAAACCACCTCAACATGTATTTAATAGCAAAAACATTATTAAAGGTGGCTTCCCCAAAAAAAAAGTGTGCCATCCGCATATTGCAAGAGGTCAATCTGTACCTTATCTTCCCAACCAAAAAGTTTTTGTATATATTATTTTATTTTATTTGTCTCATCGTGTTTTTGAAAGGGAGGATCAACATTTGTTTGTTAGGAATCACATTGAAAACACAAAGAAAAGACATTTTTATTAAATAAAATGAAAATAACAAGAAATAGGAGAACTCTCTCACCTCCAAGAGTTTCCCCTTCATAAACTATTTCTTATCTCACAAAAAGCTAATGCTTAATCTTCAAAATGAACAATTCTCTCTCCTATCCTTTCTTCTCCTATTTATATCTAACAAAAACCTCATGAAACTAACTAGCTCATTAATATTCTAACTATCTTAACTAACTTCTCCCTATACCCTAACAATACCACACAACCCATCCAAAACTAAATTGAAAAGAAAAGGTCCTTGCCTCAACCTTTGCTCATCTTAAATTTCGAAGATGGGCTTCCATTAACTAAAGACGGATATCGAGTTAGATTGAAGACACCCATTTATCCAAGACACATCTTTCACGAAAACCAAATCTTTGTACCATATACCTTAAGAACGTCCAATCAACTGAATCATATGCTTTTTCAAAATCAACTGTGAAAATGATGCATTTCTTTTATCCCTTCTTACCTCTTCAATTGTTTCATTGGCAACCACAATCCCAAGTAGAAGATATCTTCTGCTAAAAATTGCATTATGTCTCAAATCAATCACATTTGGTAGAACCTTTTTCAATCGGTTGGCTCGTATTTTGGCCACTATTTTATAATGAAATAGGCCTAAACTCCCCCAAATTACATGGCACATCTACTTTTGGGATAAGAGTTTAAAAATGAAGCATTGGAGCCTCTAAGAAAAATTCCATTTCATAAAATTCCTCTAAGAATCTCTGACGATATCAAACTTTATAACTTCCCAATAATACTTGATAACTGAAATTTAGACCATTCGGGTTTGAGACTTTTATCACCACTTCAATCCCAAATACCTTCTTTGATTTCATCCACCTCAAACCAATGTCCTTTTTTCCTCCATGCATAATTGTGAAAAGGTCACCCCATCTAGCTTTGCTCTTCTCCACCCTCATCATTAAATCTTTTTCTCAAAATATTCCTTCACTTCCTCCCTCTAATCATATTCTTCCTCCTTCTCCATCTCCCCAAAAAATGAAAATACTTTTTAAGTTTAGAACTCCTTCTATTACCCATTTACATCTTGATTTTTGTCTCGACATTGATTTTATGTAGCCACCTTTCAAAATTATTTCATAAGTTGTTTCTTTTTAGCCCCTTCTTTTTTACTCAATTCCCCCATTTTTGTCAAGGTTATTCATCTCTCAGCATTTTTTGCCTCTCATGCAAAACAATAAACTCCCTTTTATTTTTCTTTTTAAGGCTTTGATCTCCTCCTTTGTTATGTATTTTGCCCTCCCCTCTATAGCACTGAGTCCTCCACATATTTAACATAATTTTTCTTTCAACCAACAATCAAGAACTTGATATGGTTTAGTCCCCCCTATCCAAGTTAACATTCTTCAATAATATCGGACAATGGTATGATATTTTTCTATCAAGAATGTATTGGCTACACCCTCCCCATACATTTAAACACTCTTTTGACAAGCCCTATCAATTATACTTTTTTTGTTTTGTTCTTTCCCTTCACCTATCCTATCACCATCTACTCCCTTCTCACTTCTGTTTCCTCCTTTTCTGCATATGTTTGTATTCTCCTTTGAACGGTCCATGACTAAGCGGTCGTGAGGACCCAATATGTACTTGAACATTTGAATTTTTATTTGTTTCAAGCTTCGAAATGTTATTTCACCCCTTTTTCTGATACTCCTCCATGTTCACCGACATGTTTCACAACCTTCCCCTTATTCCATGTGTGCATTCGAAAGTCGATGAAGATGTTCTAATCTAAGATTACTTGAAGACATAGTCTTGAATAGCTTATAGTATAAGACACATGTTTACCCCTTTGTGGTGATTATGCTATGCCAAAGTTTGACTGAGCCGGTGCGAGAGCTAAACATTCATATTTTCTTATCTAGTATATATTTGTGTCAATGACCAACTGTTCTAAAGCTTAACTCGTGCAATAGCATATGTTTTAAGTGTTGATAATGCATGTCTCACAACTTTGAGTTGATATTTACCTATCTTACAAGAATGGAGTAAGGATTGAGCTATTGAATGCTTAATTGCATTGGCTTTGATGATATCATGTCAAAGAACAAAATGATATGAAATCCAAGTGAAAGCATTTGGAGTTTGATTAATTCCATTATTCTAAAAAAAAATAACTCTCCATAAAACCCATAGAATTGGTTTCATAGTTCTAGGTACTATTGTTGATTTTCTATAATTGCACAAATTAGGTTAAAAAGATAACCGATAGGGTAATTTCATTCCAATGAAACAGAGTGTAAATTTTTTCTAAACAAAAAAGTATTATGTGAAAGCAGATCCCAAAGCTACATTTAGATTTCAGTGGAGTCAAGTGGCAAATCATAAATAAGTTATATACAGACCTTACTAAAGCCAAGCCAATTTGAATCTCCTCTAAATGAAAATATTTTGGTGTTGTCTTTCCATTGTCCACAAAAGACCTGCATTGATTACTCCAAATTCAAGATCATTATGAGCATCTGCATGCATATGATACAAAAATATAATCCAAAAAAGAGTGTTGCTAAGGAATAAAAATAGCATTCGTTGGTCATCTTAATTACTCAAAGAAAGTATTAAATGCTTTTTAAGGAATTAAATGATTTTATTATCATTTAGTAATTCTATGTTTTATTAGTTAACATGTTCCCTGAAGGGCACATATTAACAAAACCCATTCTGAATACACTCATTATGGTGAGTTGCAGAAATTTAGTTTTTTTAAAGGAAATGGTAAAGAGATATATAAATAAAATCCCTATGTCTTATGCAAGGTAGATGAACAAATATATATAGATATCATGATACAAATAGATGGGTTTGGGCCCACATATTTTGCTATTACTAACAAGTTTTTAGAGTTTTTATGTCGTTTCTGCACCAAGGAGATACATTTGATGGCTCTAAATATTAACACTTTCATGTTTGCATGGAAGACACATGTCTGAAGCCTCTAGTAATACATCTAAAGCCCAGTGATAAAATTCAGAATAAAGCAGTTGTAGTACAGAAAAAAAGAAGTTCAGCAACCATTTACTTCCCTGTTACAACCTCTATCATAGAAAACCCTATCCTGAGTCGCAATACATAAGATAGTTTGGTAAAGCACATTTCACCCCAACAGTTGAAAAAAGTTCTTTTGGTAGTCTAGTTCAGTAATTTTGTTAAAATAAAACAATATTATTGTTTATCCTAGAAAATAAAAGGTGCTATTGTTAAATAAGTAATTCTTAAATATTGTATCCAAATGCAAAATTACCTTTTTTTTCGCTTCTAAAAATAGGCTTTTAACAAAAGCTAATCCAAACAAACCCGAGATATGTCCAAGTACAGAATGAAAAGTATGGAGTTAAAGTTGAGCATTGGTTCGTAGTTAGGTTCTACTATAAATTTCTGCTAAATTCCCATGGCAAGAGTTCCTACAGAAGTCATTGCCCTGACATATATAACCCTCACAATTGACCTCGGTGGCCCAAAACCAAATGTATACTTTGATATACACGTCTCCACCCTCAATCTACTGTCAATTCGTTTTTCCAATAATTTTATGATGCAGCTCATGAGATGGATCCCTCTATAGTCCACACATCCTCCACTCACCCTTCAACTTCATATGCCTTGTTATCTTGATTGACAATAGTAGTTATATATTGATGAAAAAATGAGAAAATTTACCTCATAATCAACCCCTTGAATATAGATACAGTCAGGGTCTATTGTTGAGAAAGCCAGTCCTGTTATCTGCAGTAATTAATTACAGTCATCAATGCCACCAAAAATACATCAACTGAAAACAATAATAGCAACATCAACAATAATCTTATCCCACTAACTCAAATCACCAATATGGATAACACGAAGCCATTTAGTTTAGTTAAATACCAAATTCTCAAGGATATTTATCCACCGTGAGATTCCTTTTAATAATTTCCTCCAATGTAAAATGCAAAAATATAAAATTGCTTTTATGAATAAATAGCATAGGAAATCATGTGAAGAACCATAGGACTGAGAATAAAGTTAAAGCACTAGAAAAATACCACGATACCTTTCATAGACGAAAGTCCACATCTAAAACTATTTGCAACTAGTCCTTCCCTCATGCTACACTAATATTCCCATTCCCTAAGCATTTCATGAATGATCTACAAGATGAACTTTGACCCTTTCTTCGAAAAGACATGACTCATGTCATGAGGGCACAAAATCACTAAAGAAAGTTAGTTTATAAAGAAGACTATTGACTTCAGCGAGCGTGAAGCTGCATTGACAGGAAAACTATACCGTAATTCCCAATGGCAACCCAGAGAAAGGGTATTAATAGAAGCTTTTACTGATTAAAGAGAGTTTTTTGTCATCATTCTGTCATATACAATTCAGAATTAGTGATGATGGACGGACAGACGACATTAGATCTTAATGATAAGGAAAATGGGGCAAAGAATGCAATCCATGTGCCAAGGAAGAGTAATCGTATCAAAAAGAAGTTGTTAAAGGGGAGAAAATGAAAAAAATAAAAGAAAAAGGGAATGGCCAAAACAGGGTGTGAATGTTGGCAACGTCTTCCCATTGATTGTCTTTCTCTCTCTCTCTCTCTCAAGAGAACTTTTCTTCCCCTCTGTTAGATTTCTTTTAAATTCTGTTTTGGCAATTTTCTAGAAATAGTTGCAATATTGTTTGTACTGATACAGCACTTGACTTAATACAATCCTCCTTATTCATCTGCTGCCATTAAATTTTGTAAGTTATTACACATTCCTATTTTTAATTTGTTTGGCAAATAAGTACAAATAACCTTTGTTTTACTTTTTTTCTTGTTTTCAGAAATTTATTTAGGAAACAGTGAAAATAAGATTTATGTTGTTTCCCCTGTTACTTTTTAAATTTGTATATGAAATAAGATGGAAACAAGGAAACATTTCTGTAAATATTTATAAAAATAAAAATTAAAAAAATCCATTTTCTCAAGCCTAATAGACCCTTAGTATTCCGTTTCCTTCTTCAAGTAGATTGAAGAAAATCTAGAGCTTAACGTGAAGAATAAGACATTGATTAACTAGAAATTGACACAGGATAATATAATCTATATAAATTAATCTTAACTTGAAATTTCCCTATGTCAGATAACAGTTTTAACTACATTATTGAATTAGAGAAAAGAGAAGCATAATTTGGTGTAAACCATGTGTTTCAAATAAACTCAGTAAAAAGAAAAAAATAGATAAAACGGGGGTAATAATACATGTCGCCAATACACAAAGAATGAATGAATTCAAAGGTGCATCATTCCATACAATATCTGACTAGAACTTGCTATATCTAAAATTTAGACGATAATTTAGTTTTGAAAAAAATAATTAGAGAAGCATATTAGTTTAGCAAAACAATTATTTAAAAACTGCAAAACCATGCCTAATCATTCCTTAAGATATAACAATTTATTTAAGAAACATTCTTTGAAGTGGTAAACAAATTTTGAGAGAGATCAAGGCAAAGATATTGTTAAACCTGACCTCATATTTTGAACAGTGCACCCATCTAGACAATGCCGCCCATCTATATCAAATGTATTCATGTTAGGGCAATGTGAAAGTAAAATAGAAAAAGGAACAGTTGCCATGCCTTCTATAGCATCTCTACAATATTTACATTGGTTAAATGTTACTGAGTCACAAACTAAAATGACAAACCAATTTTCTATTTATTTTTTCCTGAAATCAAAACAGCAGCTAACCTGCGAGGATCGTAAATAGTCACAGTACGATCAGCTCCTCCTACAGCAACATTGCCACTGGAAGAATCACAAACAGCATAAAAGATATCACCAGGGACGCCACAAACCCGATGTACACAACCACCATTTTCTTTCATTCTCAGATCCCATATTGACAACTGCAATTATATTAACAGGTGATACTATAAAATATAAACAAATATGAAACACAAGGCAGAACTCATTATAAACCATGAAACACAAGCGATGACACATGTCAAAGATACACCAAAATGTAGCGGCGCACCAAGTGGTGTATAGGAGGGTAGACATGCAGTATGACCCCCACAAAGACGTTAATTCCAAGATTTGAACTTGAGGCCTCCAGGCCTCCAAACTTGACCTTGCCATTGTGTCAAGTCTTAATTCACTAAGACACTCAATTCAAAGAAATATAGAACACAAAAGTGTGTGCATATGCTTCCACATCATAATTAGTTTGTAAAATGAGAATTGCAATCCACTTATATACACTAATACAACCATGTGACTAGTCTATGTAGAACTAAGCATCACCCTTGGGGTTTCATTTTAGGCCATGGTTATCGAATCTTCGTATGGTGAATCGTTTTTTGATTTTTTTGAATCGTGAATTGAATCTTATTATGAATCTTAAGATACGTGATAAATAAAATGATATTTTTAAGTAAAAATAAGTGATATGAAAAAAAACATTAAAAATATCATATATTAGAATGAAGTCAAAATATTCAATCCATGAAACCAAAACATAATAATAATAATAATAATAATAATAAGATACTATTTCCTATATTTAAATCCTACATCTTAATCTTATTCTTTCATTCATCATCTTCGAGATTAATGTCACTTAGATCATTTTCTTTCTCTAATAGAACATTTTGTTGCCACTCATCTTCATCCTTTTCCTCAACCTCTCTAGCCATCTCTTCAATATCATCATCATTTGCTTTTATAGTAGATTTTCCCTCTTTGTCAACTTTACTGGTTAAATTTCTTGGACCTATTAAGGAAACAAAAAACTTTATTAGTATCATAACATTTAATTTATGATTAATTTAATTACACTAGTTTTATAGTTTAAACAAATATCTCTCTTCCTTTTCTTGCTTGGAGCTCCCTCTTCAAGAGTAAAAAATTCATGTATATCCATCCATGAAACATTGGTAGGCAAGGATCCTCCTTTTCAGTAATCCACCCATCTCATTTGATTCAATATCAGATAGACATATTAGATCATAAGTATATCTCCATTCTCCTCTCTAACCTTTTTCTCATCTCAAGTTGAAGATTATACTTAACAAAGACAAGAACACTTAATATTTTTTGTTCCAAGCGATTCCTTCTTTTAGTATGCACTTGATCAAATATGCTCCAATTTCTTTCACAACCAGTAGCACTACAAGTGAGACTTAAAAATCCTCGTTGCTAGATTTTGTAACTCTTCACCATAACTTTCCCATTAAAGAGCTGCAATTTCAAATAAAAAGCTAACATTTATAATTGTGAAATTATGCTTTTAATAAAATGTTGAAAAATAATTAAAAGTTATACCATGATGCTTCTTATCCCTAGTGTCTATTGTTATGCTTCTTCCAAACAATCCTTGGACTTTCTTAAATCTATTAAGTTGTTGATCAAGTTGAAATCTAACCCTTCTATCTGGATTTTTTTTTAATGGTCTCATACAGACCATATAAAACTTCACTATCCACATTGAAGGTTTTTTGCAATAAAATCGGATAAAAAAAATAAATATTAAAGATCATTATAAAATTGTAATCTAAGAAAGTATAATGTTATAGCTATTTACTTAGGATGAAAGTAGTAAGCAACAGCATGAAGAGGTTTATGTAACTGCAAATTCCAACTAGTATTAATTATTTTCCACACCTTTTTATATCGAGAGTCTTGATTCTTGAAATTTGCAGTTGTTTGCTCTTTAGCTCTATCCATAGCTTCAAAAATATATGGCATGGCAAGTTTTAAGTCTCCATCTACAAGCCTTAGTACTTTCACAAGTGGAGTCACACACTTCAAACACTATTGGATGGATTTCCAAAAATCTATCATCAAATAAAACAATGTTCACCACCTGTTTACCTTCAGTTTTACTAGCATGATTACTAATTGTCCATTCTTCTGAAACAAACATAGCTCGAAGAACATTTTTGTGTTGTGCTATGCATTGTAAGGTGAGAAAAGTAGTTGCAAATCTTGTGACAGTTGGTCGAACTAATTCTTTTCCTTCGGAATACTTTCTATATAAGTTTAGGACTCATGTGTGCCTATAAATGAATGTTGTGACTCTTTTGGCATTTGCAATAGTATTGTAAAATACTTGAAGTTGACCAATGTCTTCAAGAATTAAATCAGGCAATGAGCTATACAAGGAGACCAAAATAGCTTGTTCTCTTCTCCTCTAACATCTTTCCTACTGCCACAAAATTAGAAGCACCATCTGTCACAACTTGCACAACATTATCCTCCCCAATTTTTTCTATCACAAAATCTAATAGCTCAAACATTTGTTTGGCATCCTTGACCACATTACTAGTATCAATAAATTTTAAAAACACTACTCCACTTGGACTATTAACCAAAAAGTTAGTAAGAGACCTCCCTTTTCCATCTATCCAACCATCACTTATCAAAGTACAATCCCATTTTTCCCATTCAACCTTATATTTCTCCAAACTAGCTTGAATATTGTCAACCGCCTTCAAATAAGATACTCTAACTTCATGATAAGTTGGAGGCTTTAAACCTTTTCCATATTCCCCAATAGATTTCAACATTTGGGCAAATAAGAAGCTTCTTACCAAATTAAATGGCAAAACATTACCATATATGCATTTGCAAATATCTTGAGTCACCAACTCTCTTTCTTTAAACATTTCATTTATGGTTTTTTGTTTTGTAATTCCTTGTTTCCCTTTTTAGAAAATGACTTCAATGTTTCTTTTTTATTACTACATTGAATATCTACTTCTTCAAAACAATCTATCCGATTTGCATCTTTGATTTTTTCTTTATCTTCTAACAACTTAAAAAACATTTCTCTAACATCATCCGGAACATATGTACAAACAATGACATTCTCCTTTGTTGCAGCAAGATGATGTTTCATTCTTGCAACACCACCCTAACAAGTATGTAATAATACTTGCAATTGACTAAAAGTCTATGAGGAGGAACACTCACAATGACTCCATGTAATATCTATTTCTTTCTTTCACTTTTTCTGACCCAATACTTCTACCAATAAATTCAAAAAACTGATATTTTTTTCTCGAAAAACAAAATATAAAAACAAAAAATATATTAACAAATGCAAGAACAATTATATATAAAACTATAAAGTTTCATATAAACAAGTTTTATATAAAACAAAATAAAACAAGTTCTTAAATAATTTTATATAAAAAAATAATAAATAATACTGCAGTGCAGTAAATAATACTATTCTAAAACATTCATTGAAGTATCTTAAAAATAATAATTTTGCATATTAAAATAAAATATAAGATAAAAAAACAAACAAATATAAAGTTAAAATAAAAGATCACATGATCTAGATTCTAGATGTTTCAGAAAAAGTGGGATAGAGTTTACAAGTTTCAGAAAAAGTGGGATTAGAGTTTATGTGAATGTGCTGCTACTTCAGAATGAATTAAATATTATTAAAATCATAATCTAAAAACTTTCACAAAAGTGAGAGATTAAAATACTGTGTAAGTGCCCTGGTGAGATAGATTTAGAATATATGTCTCAGTTTGGATTTGTTAGTATACGTTTGAGCCAGTGAGTGGGACATGCAAACCTGTTTTCTTCTCCAACGGGTGCTTTCTCAAATGGTGCTACCAGTTATTCTTCTCGGCAGTAAGTTCCATTGCTTTATTGATTTTATTTTCTTCTCTCTTATAAACTTCTTCTTTTCTCTCCTCCTTTACGCTTCTTTTCCCTCGTACTTTTTATGTATTCTTTTACAAATCCTAATGTGTTTCTTCTCTACCTTCTTTTCCTTCTCATCTTTCTTTCCCTTCTCAATTTATAGGCAAATAATTCCATCATATGTTACTCTTTGGTTTGTTGGGATTTTTTATTTCTAATGTGTATCACCTCGTGAAGTGTATGCAGTGTGTGTAGCGTATGCAGTGTGTGTCGCTTCATGAAGTGTGTATTTGGTGAAGTATATGCGTCACGGAATTGGGTGTAACGGAACTAAATTGTGAATCATACGATTCCAATCCGATTCATGTCACGAATCACCTACCGATATGTATCATGGAAGAAAATTTTTGAACCGAATCACGATACGTATTGTGCGATTCATGTGATTCTAACTACCATGTTTTACGAAACTCACAAAGAAACTGCAACTTAAGTGAGTTAGACATGATGCAATTAAGGTAGTTTTCCAACATTGTATTTACTTTTAATCAAAAATACAATTTAAGGAATATTACTGTTGGAGATCTCACATCAACTACATATAACCAATTTATAATATATAATTGAGGTACATGTCTTACCTTACAAGTCAGTTTTGTAAAGTTGAACTGGACACATTTTCCATTTCTAATATGGTATTAGAACTTATCCTAGTGAGATTTGTTGGTCTATCACTCCACCGTAATTGAGTCGTTGTCAGATCACTTCATAGTATTCAATTCTACGCTCTCAAGATGATCATTCTTCAACAAGAGGGAATGTGTTGGAGATCTCACATCGACTAGAGATATGATGTTGAACAACTAAATCTAGAAAAGAAACCAAATTTTGATGCCTGTGGTGAGCTCACTACTTAAGACTTTTATGTACACCCACGTGATGAGAAATGTTATACAAAAGGTTGAACTACAACATGTGTTGTGCTAGTTGCATTCCATTTTTGGATACATAAGTCACACTGTAAAATACCTTTGAGATATCTTAAAATACGTTTAACAACAACCCAATATGATTCTAGAGGAGCAAACATAAATTGACACACTTTGTTAACAAAAAGACATATTTCTGGTTTGGTGATAGTAACATACTGAAGAGCACCAACAACAGACCTATAAAAGGATGCGTCAAGGAAAAAACCAACACCATGTAGAATACAGGATCCAAATGGGTTGATCATTGTAGCAAGACATAAAAATCCTATCAATATCTTGTAAAGTTGTATCAGGATGCGTCTTCTCTTTCTAGAAGGAACTCTTGCGAAAAAAAGTATTTTTTGGCATGACTTTTAATTTGACTGGAGTTTTATTGAAATAAAATATTTTGAAATGATTTCCATTTTTCCAAACCATATTTTTCAATCCCAACCAAGGATATATAGCATGTGGTCATCTTTCATCCAATGCTTGTATTTCTTATGACAAAAGGGCATAAATGAGTCATTAGAATCATCAAATCATGGCATGATATAACCTTAATTTTTGCAATGTTCAACGATTTCTATAGTTTGATTCCTCAATCTAATTAGCTCAATGTCTTTGAATAATATCTTCTTCAATGACTTGGTAGGGACATTAGCAATAAAAAAAACATAAGTGGCAAGGTTTGGGATTTGAGCAACAAAGACAATGTCCTTGAATGTCTTTTCATAATGTCTCCCCCAATGTTAAAGATATGTTTTTGTAATGTCTCTTGTTTTATTATATTTGAACAACTATTTGTTACTATAATTGTTTGACAGTTGTAGTTTATTATTTCTACTACCTATTGCAATACTCCTTCACTTTATGACACAATTTTTTTGTTTCTTCTTGCAATTCTTGCATTAATACTATTGTTTCTAACAATTGTACTATTAGTCGTGCATATGCTTGTCATCTTAGGTTAGGACATCCTAATATCAATGTTCCACATATTGCTCTACAAAATTTTAATATTTTCTTTTTCTAATAAAAGTTCTCTGCCCTTTGGTTTTCCTTGTTGTATGGGCAAAACACATAAACTTTCGTCTCAAGCTTAATTAGCTATCTATATATCTCTTTTTGAGCTAGTATATAGTGATTTATGGGGACCTTCCCCTGTTCCTTCTTCTAATCTAATGGCTTCTCCTATTACATTTCTTTTGTAGATGTTTACTCAAACTTCACTTGGATCTATCTGCTAAAACAAAAATTTGTAGCTTTTTCTGTTTTTCAACAAATTAAATCTATAGTTGAATTACAATTTAACAAATCTATTAAAGTTGTTCAAACTGATTAGGGAGGAGAATTCCGCCCTTTTACTACATATCTCGATTCTTTAGGTATTACTCATAAAATCATTTGCCTCATTCCCATCATCAAAATGGTGTTGCTAAACACAAGCATCGCATATTGCTGACATGGGTCTTACTTTATTTAGTCATGCATCTCTTCCCTTATCCTATTGGGACCAAGCCTTTACAACTGTTGTTTATCTTATAAATGGATTGTCTAGTGCTCCTCTTAACTTTCATGTTTCTTACACTATTATATTCAAAATTTCCCCTGATTATAACTTTCTTAAAGCTTTCGAGTGTGCTTGTTTTCCTTTTCTTAGACCCTATAACTCTCATAAACTTGAATTTTACTCTCAAGAATGTGTCTTTCTTGGTTATTCCATATCACACAAATGATACAAATGTTTATCTTCCTCTGGAAGGTTATACATTTCTAGAGATGTTTTGTTTGATGAGCAAAGATCTCCTTTTCCTTTGTTGTTTCCATCATCTTCACCCAATAATCACACACCACAAACTACTTCTGGTATTTCAGCTTCTATTCCTCTTTATTCAAACCTACCTTTGTCTTCTATATCTTCTACTACATTTCCACGTCACTACATCTAATTCCTGATCTGCTAAATCTCCTTCCTTTTCCTCCACTTCTATTTCTGAACCAAACCCATTATTCCTCATTGTCCTCTTAATACTCATCTTATGCAGACTCGCTCTAAGTTTGGTATTATTCGACCCAGAATTAATCCATCTCTCCTTATTGCCAATGTGGAACCAAAAAATGTCAAATAAGTCTTACACGATACAAAGTGGTTAGCTGCTATACAAGATGAATTTCTTGCCCTTCAAAAGAATAAAACCTAGTCTTTTAGTTCCTCTTTCCCCTAATGATAATGATATTGGTTGTAAATGGGTTGATCGTGTTAAGGAAAATCTTGATGGGATTGTTCATAAAAACAAAGATTAATGGCTAAAGGTTTCAATCAACAATATGGTTTTGACTTTATTGAAACTTTTTCTCCTATTGTAAAACTTGTCTCCATTCGCATTATTCTAACTCTTGATGTTACTTACAAATGGTCTTTGTTCCAACTAGATATTAACAATCCCTTTCTTAATGGGTTTCTTGATGAAGAGGTTTACTTGACTCAACCCCCATGTTTTGAAGATAAAGATACTTCTCTTGTTTGTTGACTTCACAAAGCTATTTATGGTCTTAAGCAAGCTCCTCAAACTTAGATTGAGAGACTCAAAACTACCCTACTGCAGTTTGGTTTTAGAGACAGTAAATGTGATCCATCCTTATTTATATTGTCAACAAAATTGTATTATTTACTTGTTTAAGTTGATGACATTATTATAAAAGGAAATTAGACCTCCCTTGTTCAAGATCTTATTTATAAACTTGACTTTGTCTCTTTTTCCTCAAACAACTAGGGGCCCTGAATTATTTTCTTGCCATTGAAGTTTGTCCACAGTCCAATGGCAATCTTATATGACACAAACAAAATATATAAAGAATCCTCTCGTCAAGACACATATGCTTAAAGTAAAGCCTATACCTTCTCCTAAGATTTATGGTTCTAAATTCTCAAAACAGGGTGTTAGTTTTTTCCTTGACCCATCTTTTTATAGGTCTATTGTTGGTGCTCTTCAGTATGTTACTATCACCAAACCAGAGATATGTCTTTTTTTTAACAAAGTGTGTCAATTTATGTCTGCTCCTCTAGAATCACATTGGGTTATTGTTAAACGTATTTTAAGGTATCTCAAAGGTATTCTACAGTGTGACTTATGTATCTCTCCTGCTATACCTCATCAACCTTTGTCCATCAATGTCCTTTATGATGTTGATGGGGCTGCTAATCCTAATGATAGATGATCAACTTCTGGTGCTGCAATCTAAGTCATACTATTGTATCTTGGTGGTCAAGAAAACAAATTGTTTCAGCACGGTCAAGCACAGAGGCTGAATATAGGAGCCTTGCCTCTGCTACTACTAAACTTTTATGAATTCAGACTCTGCTTACTGAACTTGACCTTCTTCACCTCACTCTTGTTGTTTACTGTGATAATCTTAGTGCAGTAAATTTAGCTCACAATCCTGTTTTACATGCCAAAACTAAACACATGGAACTAGATCTCTTCTTTGTTAGAGAAAAGGTTCTAGCCAAGCAGCTTGCTTGAAGCATATTCTTGGTCTAGATCAATGGGCTGATGTACTAACCGAGCCACTTTCTTACAAGATTTATTTTTCTTGGACCCAAGCTTAAGGTGGTTGAGTTGCCTATTGTTTCACATCGACCTTGAGCTTGTGGGGGGTGTTAGAGATATGCTTTTGTAATGTCTTTTCTTTTATTATCTATAAACAGCTGTTTGTTACTATAATTGTTTGACAGTTGTAATTTATTATTTCTACTACCTTTTGCAGTACTCTACTCATAAGTATATGGGTTCTGTAAGAGGTTTACTTACGCTTTGTAACTCTCTTTAGTAATGAATGATAATTCTGGACTGATTTAATACCCAATGACTTGACAAAAACACAAGGGACAGATAAGAAGCAGGAGGTGCAAGAAATTAAGAGGCAACAAGAACTTGAGAGTCAAGAACTTGAGGGCCAGGTTCTGTAATGTGCAAGCCATTAAATCTGTTTATAAGAAAAGATTTGCACTCAACTTACATAATTTATTTTAGCTATATCACTAGTTGATGCGTAAATAGACAGCCATCCTTCAGGCTGAAATTTTAGGCAATCGCCAAAAAGTAGCAACCTAGGCAGGCTAGGAGTGGTGGAACTTAAGGCGTTTCTCCAACATATTTTTTAATTGAAAACTCAGTCTAGAGAATATTACTTTAATCACAAAAATAGAAACGCATTTCTTAGTACTTTTGTTTACGAGACTAATATTGTCATATTTGAGCATGTTTAACTTTTTGTCATGTTGACCATATTTTCTTTAAATCTTCTATATACAACTCGTGTCTCTATGTTCCATGATTTTTAATTTAGCCATGTCCCCATGACTATCCGAGTCAGTCCTTCAGAAGTCATGTCAAACATGTGTCTAATGCAAGAACATAATACCAAAATGTATGTAATTTGCAACAGATAAAAACATTGCAAAAACCATTAGTCTTAAAATTTACCTGGCTTTCTTCCGTAATAGCTAAGGTGGAACTTTGATTTCCATTAACTACATTTTGCAAGAAGTTTAACGAAGTAGGGTACCAAAGCCTGAAAGGGCATATTAATTAAGGGGAATTCTCAAAAAGAAATGTCAACAAATAAAAACATTTGCCAGAAAATATTCCTTTTGATCTTGGGGCATAGTTGTCAAAATCATGATTGCCATCTTGAAATATGTAACCATTTTGTTTGAGAAAATCTTTCTACGTTATCAATGAATCTGTTAGCTCAGAAAATCCAAAGAGGAATTGAAGCCATTATTTTTCTTGCATATTTGATGCATACGATTTATATGCTCCAACTTATGAGGGAGTGTTTAAATAGTGATAGTGATTAAAGAATCATTTGAAGCACAGACTCATAGGAAATAGTTCAACTTTTATGATTATTTCTAGACAAATTACACTGACACCTAAATATTTGTCAAACTTCTCCTGATACCCCTCCTTTGTCTACACCCTAACTTCCCCTTAATTATTTGAAAATTGACATCCCTTATTCATTACACTAACCTCGTTAATTGTTTATAAAATATTATATCATGTACCTCTATAAGGAAGATTGATGTAATCGTAAAGAAGTAGGAGGGATGTGTAATATCAAAAAGCCACATAGGGTGTTAAGTGTAATTTATTCTTGTCCTTAAGGTAAAATAATTTATTATTTAAAACATATACATAAAAAGGAGGTGGAGTACAACAAATAAAAAAATTCACAAAAACCTTCACTGAATCTTTTCCTGATATCTTCTCAAGTATGCATCAAATGCTTTAGAGGTGCATGTCATCATTATTACATCAATCACATGGAAAGAATTAGAATATGAATGAGCGACCGAAACTAAAAGCTAGATATCTATTTTACTTTTTCAGAATTGAACTTGAAAACAGAAAATAAAAACTGCTTACGGTCTTAATGTGCGGATGTGGATGTCTTGATCAAAAATATCCACGGTTTTGCAAAGGCTACGGGCAACAGCTGTCTGGATAAAGTAACAACGGAACACAATTAGCAAAACCCTTATACAGGTATGAAGCAGTAATAAATCAGAACAAAGAGTGAGGCAGACAGTTTCTACTTTTAAACAAACAATTAAGTCCCTTATGTTGAAAACATCGACCAACCTACTATTTCTTTAGCAAGCTTATCAAATAGAGTTCTGATCATGCCATATGCTATTGATTTTCTTATGACAATAGAACCAAAGATTTAAAAGTAGGATTTACACTATGCTTGTTTAATAAGCAAACAATTATTTTAGTTGTCTATACAGTTTACAAACTGTAAAACTTCCTCCTTTTTATTGAGCGGGGGCTGGCTGTGCTTTACAAACTGTAAAACGGTACGTTTTTTCCAAAAAAAAAAAAAAAAAATCTGTAGATGGAGCCACCATTAATGATGTAAAGGTGATTACCATAGACCATTGATTTGGGCAAAAGCAGAGTCCTGACCAACTTCCTTCCCCAATACCATTATCATGAGGCAATGCAGAATATGTTAGCTTATCAACATCTGCAAATATGCTCAACGAACATAAGCCAGTGATTGGGGTGATAACATTTAAAAGCTGGATATAACTTGAATCTCAGAGAAGGTAAATGCAGACAGCAAAAATTAATTTGACAAAGCAGGTTTTGTCTGGTACTGCAGATGAGATATAAACACTTGGTGTTGTGATGTTGTACAATGAAGGAGGGGAGGTTTGTATCTTGGAAGGTTGTCTTAGACTTTAGGAAAGTTAATGGCTATGGTGATCTCCTTCACAAACTCAATTGGTCATTCTCCTTGGTATCAGACTATCTGAAGAATGGATAGGCACAATTATCTCCAGGCTTTTTATTTTAATTTGCAGAAAATTATCTCCCATTACCTTAAAGGTTCGCAACAGTTCTCGTGTCAATTTTTTAGGAGTCCTGGGTGGGAGATTCCTCTTTTCAGTCGGCTGTTCAAAGCCTTTAAATGAGTGTGACGATATATTTTCTAGAAAAACATTATAATTGAACGCCAGTAGGCTACTCCAAAATAAAGTTCAAGTTAAATTTAATTATCAACACAGGGAAATCCAGAACGGTTAAGGTAAAAGAGAAAAAAAGTACCTTCACCAGATCCATCTAGTTTAGACACAATGAGATGACCATATGAATCCACACTTCCCAACATTACATAGCCACAGCCTAAAATCATAGCCAGTTAAAATATAGAGTTGCTATATCCATGCAAATTTTGATGACAGAATAATTGTGGTAAAACAAATTATTAAAGAAATGCTCATAATGGACAAGTCACATACTCTCAACCTCAGCAAGAGCAATACTCTGAATTTCTGAACGATGAGGGCATCGGTTGAGTAATGAAGAGGCAATAATCTACAAGAGACAACAATATGCAGACTTATCAAATTAATAAATAAGTAAAGATTAGCAAAGATCAAGCAAGTAGGATTTTTTTCGCAAGACTATATATACCTCAGTGTGTTCAGGTATCAATAGGCTATCTTTTCCTTCGCTGACCAAAGATTCTCCCAAAGCAATCTACAGAGTAATATAAACCTTAGTCAAGTAAAACAATACTCAAAATAAATCAACAAAGCGATATTTTGTGTTTTACACCAGCACAACCAAGTTTACTAAAGTATGTTTGGATGTGTTTGTTAATAAATATTTATAAGAAAAGAAAATAACAAGGTCCAGTAAACTAAAATCATCTGTATGCACAAGTTATAATCAGCTTTTAAATAAACTAAATGATATATATATATATATATATATATATATATATATATATATATATATATATATATTAGTGCATCCATAAGCTTATGCTAACAATCCTACTCGAGTCAAGATCACTATAGGTGATAAAATTCTTCTTTTTAGTATTTAAAACAGTTGCATACCTCGGATTCAAACTCCAATAATTTATTAAGCTAAAACAATCTAATGCCAATTCCATGTACCCAATGGTGCATAAGTTAATTTCAGGAGAAAATTATCCAATTTTACATCCTTATTTTGTTTTCTGCTAAGTGTTTTATGAGAAATTCATCCAATCACGGTCCTATCAACAAGGACCAAGAATTCAACTAGAACAACAAACTCCATCCCAAGTCTCTATTGTAATTACCATCCAAACCAAACAACTCAAGTAGATGCATTTTAAACTTTCTTTTTTCTATGGTTTCCTTTCCTTTCCAGTGTCGTTTCACCAATTCAAAACGCACATCACATTGAGAAAGAGAGACCATTAGCCAAAAACTTCTACAACTGAAGCAATAAAAAAATTCAGCTAAAAATGTCCACACTTTGTGTAGAGAAAATGAAGCGGGTGCATACGTGGAGCTTATAAATGTGGGGACCGGAAGCTATGTAGACAACACAAGAACGTCGATCCTCGCCAACCTGAGAAGTCATCAAAAACGAAAAAGGTTAGAGTAATTTCAAAAGGGATAAGAAAAATGGAAAATGGGAGGAATGGTAATGGTATTATTGGTATGGTACTCACACGGAGAGCAAGGCGAGTGCACTGCAAGCTTCCGGGAGATGGGTCGTCAATCAGAGTGGAAGGAACCACTGCTTTCTTCAAACACTTGGCCTCCAACATCTCTCTCGAACTCGGGTTTTGAAGGTGTTGTTGGCGCAGTGTGTTCAGTGTTCCAATTTTCTTTTGCGATTACGTTTTGGTTTCCGCTATTTACATGTACGGGTGTGAAGAATAATATATCCATCCAAAGTTTAGGAGAGACAATTGAAGGTATAATTATTTTGAAATGAAAAAACTGAACAAAAAATTATTATATTAATCAAATTATGTTTTAAAAAATTAAATAAATAATTGAATTTGAATGAAACCAAATTAAAATAAAAATAAAAAACATAGGTCCAGACAATTTTGTGAGAATAGTTTGATTATTCGAACTATGTGTTTAGAAAGTGATTTGGTTATTTAAAAAAAAATAAAAGAGGTGTTGTTTATTTAGGTATTTTCAAATATGTTAATTTATAAATTACTTCTATCTGTTTTTTGGTTAATATCATTCTTTTCTTTTTTTCTCCCCGTTGTCTTGTCCCACCTTTTTGTTAACTTAATCACTAATTTGATGGACATTATTCATTTTTATTAAAATATAAATATATATTACCATAATTTTTTGTAATAGTTTAGTCCATCTAAAATTTAAATATGATTTTTTATCCAACTTTTTAATACTTTTAAGTAAATGTATTTATTACATTAAACACTATAATTTTTTATCCAACTTTTTAATACTTTAAGTAAATGTATTTATTACATATGATTGACAAACACTTAAATGTAAAACGGGACATTTCATCGTATTTTAATATGTTTCTATTCCATTAAAATTGGGATGAAATGGACTATATGTTATAATCAGTAGCAAGCTGACAGAACAAGAAAAATTTTATATAAAAAATTTTGTATATTTTTTAATATATCTTTAATTATATAAATAAAATTTAAATTTGTATTTATTTATTAATATTTTTATTAGATAAATTAAAAATTATTATATTTATATATTAAAATAATTAATTATAATTAATAATCTAAACTTAATTAATTAATATTTATAATTTAAATTATAATATTATAATATATTTATATATATTAATAAAATAAACAAAAAATATAATATTTTTAATTATTATTTTTTTATTTTTATTTTAATATATAATTTTTTTTAAATGGATTAATGACCCAATTTATTCTTATTAAATTGATGAAAATAATATATTTTAAAATATTTTATATCATATTGGATAAATAATAAAATAAATGATAATAATTATATAAAGAAGTCATTATGTAATTTTTCTTATATGGTGATTTTTTTTGTCTGATTTTGAAGTTTATGCGTTAATTGTTTTATTTATTTATTTATTTTCATCGGCCCATCCTATAATTTACCCACCCAATTGACAGGTTTAAACAGACTAAGAAGGTAAAACCATTAGTTTCACCATTTTATAGATCATTTTAACAGATAAATCCTAATCCATTTTATCTTCCCTCATTTAAATTATAAATTTATTGAAAGACAACAATATTTATAATCACTACTGAATTCCTATCCTAATCCATTTTACTATTCGTAGTTGCTGTCAACATAAAAATGGTAAGGTTTCGAGAGTTTACAAAGGATTATAGCATAACCTGATTCTAAAATGTAAGAAGGAAGAATGTGTTGATTAATGAGAGGTTTAGGATTTTTGTCAAGCATTTCGTCAATTTAAAAAATTAGACCATAATAATTATATTTATATTTATAAATATTAAACCAATAAGAAAAAAAAAATATATATATATATATATATATGACTAAAAAATATATTATTTTTTTACATTACATTTAACTAAAAAAATATTAAAAATTTCCTCTTTATTAATTTAAAATGATAATCTCATTTATTAAATCTTAAAGTAAATAACTTTAAAAATTTTATTATGATATTTCTTCTTAAAACAATAAAATTTATTAATAAATTAATTTATAATATGTATATATATATATATATATATTAATAAAGTAATATTAATTTTATTTTATTTTAAAAAATTATTATTTCATAAAATAAGTATGCCTATAGATTACAATCCTTTTTTCATAACTTATTTCTCGATCTTTCGTACCAACCCATCAACCTAAACTTATTTTAACATTCTTACAAAATTTTATTATCCATAACATCTAGGATCCACAAAAAGTTTGCAAAATTCATTTTTTCAAGACATTCCCCAAGCTGGTTGAAATTCAAATATTCCACAAGCAAATTCCACAGCAAATTTAGTGGAACTCGCATGAATTGTATTAACTAAGTTGTCCGAAAAGAACATCTTAACATCTTGCCACTAATCATTTCCCAAGTGGAAGCCATAATAATAACTATTCATGTTGCTGCTAGAAATAGAGGCAATGGTGCATGTCCAGTTATAAACAAATCCAGATATAGCAACTAAATAGACCATCCATTACTGGGCAGCAACAGAAAGCACTGAAGACAGCTTACTATTTCATGAGCCAAAACTTATTTTGTTGTAGATAATCTATTTAAAGTTTTAAAACATCAAAGAAACCATATATGCCCTAAGGATAAATTTGATTTTGCTTTAAAACTCTATTAAGAAAAATGTTATAATTAAAAAACCGAGAAATAAACCAAGCCCTCAGATCTCATAGCTTAATTTACAATCATTACTAGCTTTTTTGGTTCCACTCACAACCAACTTGCATCTATATAGGAAGAAGAAAAAGAAGTTGAAGTAGAATAGAAGAAGAATTGGAATGGAGGAGGTGAAGGAAGAGAGAAAGATATGCAAATCAAGTTGTGAATAAAAGCATGAAGCCGCTCAATAGTCTACGTGTACATCACTGGGCATGATTTCTACTTTGCACGTATTTAGTTCCCACTATCATTGGCAATGCTTATTTTAAAATGCAAAATTTTGGTCATGGTTCCAAGAAAACCGTTTGAAGTACTGCAACGGGGTTAACGCTAAATCTACCCAATAAGAAAAACGTATAAATCTGAACATCCATTGGCATGACCCACAAAAGGCTTAATGTATGTTTAGGCACATAAATAAGAATAAAAGATTTAAGTACATAATTGAAAGAAAACAAAATACATAGAAGAAAAAATGAATTTAAACCCTTCAGATGTCATTGGTTTCATTCATAAACTTCACACACTATCACGTCATTCTCAACACACGCACAGTGAACAGGACAGAAGAAGAGGGAGGGGGAAGAGACGCAGAACAGGTTAGAATGAGACCATACACTCAAATTGTGCATCATTGGGGAAGATAAGAATCAAAATATTTCAATTATTCATAGGAATTTAGATACAATGGGAACAAGAAATAATACGGGTCCCCCACCTAAGCAGGCGTGGCCTTTATCTTTGGGTTTGCTACGTAGTCTCTGTTTTACAAATCTCCCAAGTATAAAAAAATTAACAGTGCAAGAATTTAGAAGATTAGCTTTGTAGTTTCCAAATGTCGCATCCTTAGTTAAGAATATCCATGAGAACCAAAGCAATTCAACCTTAACAAAACAATGAAGATCAGGGGTAATGATCCAAACCGTAAATTCAAGAATCTATTTGTTCATCATTGGGTAAGATTGCGGGCAAATTGCTCCAACTATCATTGTCAACATTTGCATTCAGATGAAATTCCCTTCTATCAGTTATGATTTTGAGAAATCAACCCAGGTAGAAAACAAGGGCTAATGAATCAAGGGGCTTCTGAATTAACTGATGACCATGATATCACCACATCACACAAAAGGCTCAATATTTCAGCATAAACACATTTCAAAATAAAACACCAACGACTAAGAAGAAGGATCATTGGTTCTGTATATCAATCAGAAAATACTCTCAAAACAAGGCGTAAGAATACATCAAAATAAACTAAACATCGATAAACAAAAAGTTACTAAATGCATGAGCCAATAGATAGAGGAACGCCAGACAGTTATAGACAACGGGAACACATGAATTTACTAATCAGCCCCTTTTTATCGTGTGGTTAAGTCAGACATAGCTTTCTAGGCTGCGCAATTCCATCAAAACTGCAGTTTAAACTGCTCAGAGCCCAGTGCGTATCATCATTCACTAAACATGGCTAAAATCGTCATAGCCAAATATAGAAAAAAAAAAAAACACAATAAACAATCAAGTGCAGAATTAAAGCCAAGAAATGCAAAGCCCTCAGATCTCATAGCTTAATTCGAAATCATCTACAGCTTCTGTCACATGTTCCGTTCACGACCTCTTGCACCTTCCCAAGTACACACGCATACACACACAAACACACACACACGCACATACACATACAGAGAGAAAGGGGGAGAGAGAGAGAGAGAGAGATGCAGATCCGGATATGAACGAAACCGTGTAGCTGCTCACAACATATTTATGCATCATTGGGCAAGATAACGAGCAATTTGCTTCAATTAAAAAACAAAACAAAACTGGACTTTATTTTCAGAGAAATTTTCAGTTTAAATTCTAGGTTCCAATGTTGCAGTTGAAACCAAAGGAAATACACAAGTAAAAATACACTGAAATAAAAACGAATACAATACACAAGGCAACAACGGGGAAATACAAATTATTCAAAACATCATAAATACAAAGGACTTCACAACAGAATGTCTGATAAAAGATGAAAGTGGGGAGAAAACAGAACTTCACAACAACCAGAAATCAATGATCAACTCAGAAGCAAAATGGAACATACATACATATTTATAACGATAAAGAAAACACAATTGACGGTTTCAATGGCCAAACATGAGGGAAGTTAGGATGTGGATGAACAAAAGGAGTGGCACAATAAATGGTATTAGGGTTTGAGTCGTGTGAAATGGTGGGTGAGACGAGAGCATAAATAGTGGAAACTATTGTTCGGCATCGCTCCCTCTCTCGTGGGCTTTTGAGCTTCGGGCCCATCAAGTACTTTTTCTATAGGCCTAGTTATTCTCATCCTTTTTTTCCTTGATAAAAACTCGCGTAGGTAAAAAAATAAAATAAAATAATATATATATAGAGAGAGAGAGAGAGAGAGAGAGA